AAATAGCAATTAAGAGTAATCGTTAGAAATGCTCGTCGGGTAATTAACGTAAGCAAAGCTGATGGCAAATTATAGCAACGGTGATGTGGCAGCAAGTTCTGTAGTTTCTACTTTAAAATCAGAAGTGCCAAATTATATATATTTTCACTAAATTTTCACAACAACCTTCCAAAGCTTACATACTGTACGTACGTTGAGCCAAAACGTGCATCACATGGAATTTTTCCGAGAATCAAGGCTTGTGGAGAATTTTTTTTTTTTTTTTTAATAGACAAAGCATATATATGCTCGGTTCCTATAACTTCAAGTGTTAATAATAAAGCTTCAAAATTACGCAATGTGTTGCTTGTTTCTCTCAGCAGGAATTTATACCAACACTCGAATGGTTTAGTTTATAAATTCAGAGGCACCTTACGTGGCTGAAATCATTGAACCACCTATACTTGAAATTCTCATTCCTTGCCTTCTAAACTCACAAATACCTTCAATATTTTATGGAGCCCTTATCAGCCACATTGGAAGGCAACTTAAATGGCTTGCTAGATCCACATCAGCGGCGCCAGAGGCAATCTTGTTTTTCTGGTAACCCGCCGAAGATACAAAAGGTCTCTCTCTCTCTCTCTCTCTCTCCCCCCCCTCCCTATATATATATATATATATATAAATTGCTTGTATTTATATATCTAGAAATCTCGTTTTTGATATATGGGTTATATAGCGTTTATGTTCTTGACCTACATTTCGTGAGGAATACTTGGTATCTTAAATTATTTAGAGAAAATTAGCTCAATGACCTCAAAAAATACGACTCTCATAAATTATGGATGGGGTTTTTAAATAAATATTTCGAAATATGGCTCATTCATAAAATCAATTAGATATGTTTTTTTTTTTATCCTTAGAATAAATGTATTATTAAAACATAATATATTTGATTTAACTAATTTGTAGCTGATTGGATCTTTCATTTTTATCTTAAAAAATCATATTATGCGTGTTCTCTCTTTGATTTATCATCTCTGAATATTTTCTTCATCAAATTTTTGGATTTGATTTTCCTAGATCATCATATTCACTTCTCGTATAGTGCTTTTCTTTATCAGAATATTTGATCTAATTTGCCTGGATCACCATCTTCATAGCATATCTTTTCCTCTCTCTCCGTCTTTGTTTTTCCCAAATATAATGAAGAAGACATTAGACATTAAAAAGAAATTTCATTGCTGATCTACGATACTATATCGTTGATGTATAGCTATATATCAATGATAAATAAATTGATAAGTTTTCACTAATATGGTTTATATATAGTGATATATAATAGTATATCACTGATATACTATCATAGATTAACATAACTAGATAATCACAAATAAACTTATGTATAATTGATATACAGTCATATATCAATGATGTAGTATCGCGAATCAATAACACAAAAAACACATAATTATTTTCCCAAAACAAATTAAACAAAATCTCAGGAAACCTTCGCTTGAACTCGGGCTTTTGTAATAGAGTCTAACTAGACTTCCTCACCCTAAATCTATAGCTTTAGTGTGGCTTTGTGTAGAAGCTGCAATTTCAGACTTCCTCACCTCGCATTCGTGATTTTTCAACCTAAATCTTAGCTTTCAGTTTGCCTCTCCTCTTGTTCTTGTGGTCTCCTGGCTAAATCTCTAACTCTGTTTATCTATCGACGTGAGCTATTCCATTGTCTACTTTCAGTTTCTTTACCATCATGACCAAGAGTGTAGTGTCATCTCCACGTTTTTGGGTAGGTGAAAGCAAAACCAATGTGAAAAAGGAAAATCAAATATTGTGATGTTTAAGAGTAATTTTGTCTTTTGTATCAAAAGTAAAGTAGGAATGGCCATTATCTTAATTTAGAAAAAAGTGGGTTATTAGTTTTATTTAGCCATATAATATTGGCTAAATTTGCTAAAACCCCAATTATTTATTAGAACAATGTCAATAGACAATGACATTGATCATTAATTTAAGAATTTATTTTGCCCTAAAGTATTTATAGCCAAATAACAACCGACACCATGAAGTTCTCCAATACCATGAAGCAATTGACATTCCCCTATTTTTTGTTTCCAAAAAATATGTCACAACCATGTTTAAGATATCACATATGGCTTGCTAACTAGGTATTCATCATTAAAAAAATTGTCAGCATGTGCTAATGATGATCTCCTAATGGTACTATCACAGGCCATCTTTTTTCATACTATTATAGGTTATGGGCCCGTTTATTTAAAATTAAAAAAAAAATTTAGGTAGTTTAGAGATTTTGTAAAAAGAGATTTATTTTGTAAAGATTTTAGGCCCATTTGTTTTAGCTTATTTCATGAAAAAATCACTTAATTTTTAAAAAATATCTATTTTGTGAGTTTTTATTATGTTTGTTTAAACTTTTAAAAATAATCAAAAATTTAAGAAAAAGCAGATTTTTTATTATTTTAAGAAGCAATTTTGAGTAGCTTCTGAAAATAACCTAATGCAGCAAATGAAAAAGAGTGTTTTGAAGAGACAAGGTATGCAAACATATCATAAAATTTTAAAATAATACAATAATAAATCATTAGGAAAATTAATCATTTGGTTTTTATAGTTTTGATTCAATTATAATTCAGTCCCTTAATTTTGATTTGTTAGAACTCAGTCCCTAAAGTTTTGACTCAGTTATAAATCAGTCCCTAAACTTTACCTCTTGCAATTTAGTCCTTAAAATTTTAACCTCTTAAATATTTGTCCCTATATTTAAAAAAATAAAATTATAAAGATTAAAAATATTTTAAAATTTTAATATTTATAATATTGATAAAGATTAAAAGGGTTTAATAATTTAAAATATTAATAATAAATTTTAAATATTTTTAATCTTTAGAATTTTATTTTTTAAAATATAAAGATCAATATTTAAGAGGTTGAAACTTTATGAACTAAATTGCAAGGGCAAAGTGCAGGAACTGATTTACAGCTGAGTCAAAACTTTATGGATTGAGTTATAACCAGCCAAAGTTCAGTGACTAAATTACGACTAAGTCAAAACTATAAGGATCAAATGATTAATTTTTTCTAAATCACTTTTATAAAACAAAAATTAAGGAAGATATAATAAAATTTAAAAATAACTAACTAATAATCACTTTTTAATTATTGGAACCAAATATAAAATAATGTCTGTTTTTTATTAGCTTCTTAAAATAATAAAAAATATACCATTTTTTTTAATTCTGATTATTTTTAAAAGTTTAAACAAACATAAAAAAACTTATAAAATAGATTTTTTTTTCAAAAATTAAGTTATTTTTTTATAAAATAAGCTAAAATAAACGGGGCCTATATAAGTGTTGGTCAATCAGTTCTATAACTAGCCATGATATACGTAAATAATCTTTGACAATGACATCGCTTTACAATTAATTTGGGTTGACAAACATTTTTCTTTTTCTCCAACGAGTCCTTAGTAATTGGCAAGTTGAATGGCATCCATTTCATCCTCCTATTTTCTCAATTAGAACATGTGTATTATGTTTTAATGTTGACGATTATAGTGTACACTAAGAGATTTTTTTTTTTTTTTTTATCTGATGAGTGTACTCTAGTTAGCAAATCATGATAAACTTATATAACTTGTGACATTACTGTCAATTGATCATTAATTCAGGTTGATAGTTTTTTTTCCCCCTTACTGGTAAATACCTTGTTGACAAAACATATATGTACACCTTGAACACAATGCCACGTTTTGATAAATGAACACAATGCCACATTTTATTGGGGTAGAAGTTCAAATCTACTCTCAAAGTTTTCAAGCAGGCACACCTCATATTTTTATTTTTATTTTTGGTACAATATGCCTCAACGTTTTTTAATTTGATACAAGATTACCCTGTTGTCAGCCTTTTACCGCTATGACTTTTAACTTTGAAAATTTGAGCGTTTTTGTCTTGTTAGCTTGCCATGATAGCATCCATGTTAGATTATACTCCAAGCAACACTTTCGTCAAAAAGTTAGGTCCTCTTCTTCACTGAAGAATTTCATTCCAGAAAATTAGACAAGAAAATCCCAGAAATCAAGAGTGACTTACTATTCATGCCTTTAACAGGTGCCAGCTTATCTTCGACAAAGATCTGACTTTGACAAGTATTACTTCCCTAAGGTGGTATCCATTGGTCCCATTCATCATTTCAAAGGTGATGGAGCACTACAAGAAGGGACATCAATAACATCGGCGGATTCATCATCAGAAGAATCGAAAGGAACAAGATTGAATCTTGACCAAGGAGAAGAATACAAGAAAATATGGGCATACACGTACCTGGAAGATCAAAAGATAGACAAGAAAGAGGCTCAGTGTCTACTAAATAAGATCCATTCTAAAATCCACAAATTGAAGGATTACTACACTAAGGATGCGCTTCAAGGCTTCAACGACGATGAACTTGCCTGGATCTTTTTTGTCGATGGGTGTGCTGTACTTCATGTCATGGATAAAGCAAAACAATCAAAATTAGAAGAACAGGACATTATCTTACTGCATGACCTGCTCTTGTTAGAGAACCAGCTTCCATATCGTGTGTTGATGATTTTAACCAAGAAGGACAATTCTACAATGACAGCCTTCATGCAAAGTTTTCTTGATTTGCGCAGCATCATCAAGTCAGAGAAAACAACTCAGCGTCAGCCATACCATTTGCTGGATCTTCTGCGCATGATGATCGTGGTTGAAGATAATAATAAAGAGAAGGAACATATAGTAGGAGGAATGCCGTCCGTTGACAAATCATCAAAGCGAAAGAAAAAGAAGAAAAAGCTGCCAACACATAGGAACATACAGGAACTTTTAACATCAGGTTTTAAAATTAAGGAAAACGTTGGGAAAAGTCTCACAGGCATCCATGTTGATGGTCTGAAGCTCTACATTTCTCGGCTCACTATGGATGACTTCACAGCTCAAACATTCTTGAACATGATAGCGTACGAGATGTGCCCAGACATCAGGAACAATTATGAGATCAGTAACTATGTGTGGTTCCTCAATTCCTTGATAGATAATGCAGATGATGTCAAAGCGTTAAGGAAAGCTAGGGTTCTGAACAACCTTCTCGGAAGCGATGATGAAGTGGCGAAAATCTTCAACACAGTGAGCACCGACTTGGTGCTTTATACAGGAAAGTATGATCGTGTGAGAGACAATATTGAGAAAATTTACAATCGTAAAGTAAGCACTTGGTTCGCTGAATTGCAACTCAAGCATTTCAACACCCCGTGGACAATCATTGGCCTAATATCTGCTTTTCTTGGGTTTAATCTCACTATTGTCACCCTCATAAGGGAATTAAGCAAATAAGAAGGATTAGCCTCCTCCTAATAGCCATCCACTAAAATCAGATCCCTCACTGGTGTGTTTAGACAATTAAGATTCACTTTAATGTGGTTTGTGTCGTATAAATGAATAAGTTAACCAAAGGCGTAGTCACTGATAAAGCATAATGGCCTTGCGCAATTTCCATGTAACTGGCCCGTCCTGAGGACATAAAACTTTTTGTTGTTGTTGTTGTTGAATGATATTAATATACAGTTTCCTACAATATTGTACATTTGCGTTTGAGATACATTTCAATATTTTTTTTTTTTTACTATGTTGGTGGTTTCATATGTCTTTGTGAAAAAAATTAAGGAAAAATTTATTATTTGATCCTTGTAGTTTTAAACCAATTGTAACTCAGTCCTTCAATTTCAACTCATTATAATTCAGTCCTTGAAATTTTAACTCTGTTATAAATCGGTCCCTGAATTTTGTCTCTCGCAATTTAGTCTCTAAAATTTTAACTTCTTAAATATTGATCCCTATATTTTAAAAAATAAAATTGTAAAAATTAAAAATAAAATTCAATCCACATTCTTGTAGATAGCAGTAACTGGTGGCATGGTTATAGAAGCATTATTTAGAAGAAAATGTGGGGTGGATTCAATTTGTAGAATCTGCAATACAGAAGTTGAGACCATTGAACACTATATACTAATGCGTGATTGGGCACAAAGAGTTTGCTTTGAGGTGTCCATTGGCTCTGGTAAGGTATTTCTAGGTTTGACAAGTGGACGTGTCATTTGATTGGGACTGAGAGTAGCCTTGGTGAATATAAGAAGGCTCTTATTGGCACTGTTTAACTTTCTTGGTGTGCGTAAGGATAGGTGCATCGTGTCATTTCAAGAATGAGAGACTAAGCCTGTTAGGGTTATGTGGAATGTTGTTAACCTGGTTGAAGAGGTTTGGAAGGCTAATAGGAAATGAACTGTAGAAACTGAGAAGAAGGGATGGAAGAATAAAGAAGTAGCCTGTTACTGCTTGTTCTGATTTAATTCACGGATAAGTTTGGATGGATCTTACCATGAAAAGGAGGGAAGAGCAGGGATTGGAATTATAATACGAAGTATTGATGCAAGAATGCTTGATGGTTACGTTTTGCTAGTAAGGTGAATGTAGCTTCTACATTTACCACAGAAGCACTGGCCGTGAGGAAGGCTTTGAGTATCACGAATCGATTTACTAATAGATAGGTAGTAATTGAGACTGAAAGTGAAAACTTGGCACCATGTGTGAAGGAGAGAAGGGTGGAATCGTGTGAGTGGGATGCATCAACAGTAGTGGAGGATATCATAGCAATGTTAGAAGATGCAACAATGTGGTGGTTTCTCTGATTTTTAGAGCATAGAATAAAACTGTGGAGTTGGGTTGCATTGAAAGCTTCAAAGGGAATGTTTTTCTGGATTTAGCTTATTAGTTGTTTCCTGTTTTGTCATTTTGTTTTTTCTCTTTTAGTAAGTTATGTGTTTACCGACCTCATCTAATAGGATAAGACTTATTGTTGTAGTAGTAGTAAGTTATGTGTTTAGGTTGTACTGTTATATTTTTTATTTTTTAGTGTTTTTTTGTTTTTAGCTTGTGTCTACTTTATTGATATTAATAAAATTGACTTGTTTTAGCCAAGAAAATTTTTTGTTCATATCCACCTCAACGTGTATCATTGCCCGGATGTCTGTGATTCAATTAGAGATCAAATATTGCATCATAGGAAAAAAAAAACCATATCAAATTTTACATTATTTACTTTTATTTTTATTCTTTAACATATCAAATTTATATGATTTATAATTTTTTATTATATATATGTTTTCTGTCCTTTTAGATTTTATATAATTTAAAAAAATTTTAGAATACAAATTATTTATCATATTAAATTTTACATAATGAAAGATTACGTATCATAAAACACATATTTTAGGGAAAATGTTAATTAAAGATCCCATAAGAGCATTAATAATAATTGTAGGCCCTAAATTATTAAAATCTTATTAACAGACAATGATCTTTATATGCAATTAAAAAAATGCAAATAGTCAACTGAGAAATCAATAAAAGATAATTAAAATTATTTTTAATGTCAGGTGATAATTTATGAAAATTAATTGTGAATATCAATTTTTTACTATTAATATACAAATAGACCACTTGGGAGGAAATCAAGATTATACACTTTAGATTATTAGTAACATTAGTTAGGAATTTGCAAGAAAAATTTTTGAATTACAAACCAATCACTCATAAATTTTGTTGCCAATATACAAATAAATCATTTAAAAAACCTATAAAATACATTTAGAATTATTTATAACATCAATTGATAATTTATAAGATTCAATTATAAATCACAATCCTATCATTTGTTTTTTTTTTTAACTATTGCTTGGGAAATCAAAAAAAGATATTTGAAAATCTTTGTAATGTTAGTTGAAATTTTACAAAAACCTATTGTGAATCTTAAGCCAATTAACAAAAAATAATTTATTGTAAGTAAGGATCATGGTCTATCATTAAAATTTCAATAATTCAAGGTTAGTAATTATTCTTATAAGTCCCTACTTGTCATTTTCCCGATACTTTATGATAGTTATATATTTAAAAGTATTTTTATTATTATATATTATCATAATAACTTTTTGTTTTTACTTTTGAAAAAAATATTTAAATGTAAATCTCTTTACAATGGCCAAAGTGGACTTTCCAAAAATGAATTTTGTTAAGAGTTAAATGTCACGGCCTAAAAATTAGGTATGAACGGCATAAGATATGTGGGTGCAAAACTCACATCCGTTAAACCTTGATGAACTCCTAAGTCAATATTTTAGACGCCTTAGTATGATAATTAGAAATTCTTACCATGCTTTTTATATAAACCAAAAATCATGAACTTATAAAGAAATTTCAGAAAAACTTCCTCTAAAAATAGGACCTCTAGAAATTACTAGAACAATAATTTATAATATCAAATTAGATATACAATATTAAAAGAAAGACAAGGATCCTACCTACAATTTACATGGAGCACCTAGGGCCAGACTCAGATAAAAATATAAAGTTCAAATTATCATCAAATTATCATCAAATTGAGACTTATTTCAAATAACTCTTTCACTTCAGTTCAATAATAAAACTCCTTAATAAATATCTTGAGATACAAGTTCGATACCCTCTAAGGCCAAAAATATCTTTTTTAGTGAATAACGTCCCAGATTAAAATTAAAGGAAATATAGTAAGGAATTATAAATGGAATAAACATGAATTTAACTAAATTAGTCATAAAAAATGGTAGGATTGCATAATTCAAATCAAATAGTTTTCATGTGATAACCGAAGAATTTAAGAAAAAATTAATTATATATATATATATATATAAGTTTGTGTTTTAATAGTAATTATATAAATTCTTGGAATAAATATAACAAGTAAGAAAGCTAGTGTAGTGGTAGCAGAATATGTATTCTCTCATTAGGTCACGTGTTCAAATCTAATGAAGACCAGGAAAATTTTTTTCTACTCTTTGTTTATAAATTATGAAATTACCCTTTTCCAAATATGATAAAAGCTTCCTTCTCTTCTTTGGCCATTCCAAAAAATGGAGAGAGAGAGTATGAGAATTTGATCGACTCAACATTTTCTCAACACCTCTGACCCTTTTTTCATTCCAATGATCACCAACTCATCTCCCTTTTATGTTCTGGTGGTGGCTGGTGCAGTTGACGCTGTAGTTGTTTTGGTTCGTTTCCCTTGTGTTTCCTGTCTCTATTCTGTCTCATCATTTTCTACTTTGTTTCTATCTGTCTTCATTGGGTTGGGTTGCTGCTAATTTGTTTCTTTTCATTTTGGCCGAGCTGTGTTCAGTGGATCCCTCTTGTTCAACTGTAGGTTTCGTTTCCTTCTTCTTGGTGTATGCTATCGACTTTTTCTGAGGTGAGGAGTTTGAACTCTTTCATTTGTTAGTTCTATTGTGCATGTGAATAGATGGAATAAGGGAGTTGAATACTGAAAGAAAAATTGTTCTTCTCTATGTTGTTATCGTTGCTCTGTGTGTAGTTATAGATTTCATTTTTTTTAATGCTATGTGTGCGCTTGAGGCTACAGAGGATCAGCGTGTTCTATTGTGGCTGTGCTTGAGGAAGCTTCACGTTTAGGTTTTTCTTGCTATGTATATATGTGAACTGGTGATTAAAGTGGCAAATCTTGGCTCCCCTGTTATTGTCCGTGACTGTATGTGGGTGATTGGAGTTAAAAGAAAAAAAATTAAATTTATGCATGCTTTCTGTTGCTGTTGAGCCGTGCTATTATAGGAGGGAGAGGACTCAAATTTAAGTTGGAAGTCTATTCTAAAGTTTGATAATATATATATATATATATATGGGTCATAATTTTTGGAGTTAAATAAATCTAATTTGGATTGAATATGGTTAAAGAAACTACTAAGGAAAAATGGGAAGAGAGTAGCTTGGATATATAACTTAAATAATTAGAATTTATGCACATAAAGTAATTGGTGCAAAACCTATGAGAAAATCTTTACCTCAAGAATGGGGAAGGTTATAAGTATGGAGGATAATATTTGGTGGGAGAAGTATATTAGTATGGAAGCTATGGAATTATGAATGGATGGTTTTGGCTAAAACAAATTGGTGGGGATTAGTGATATTAATAATAACACTTGGATCAACTCTAAATATGATGTTGGTTTTGGAATTTTAAATGATGGTGGTTGATTTGGAATTATGTCAAAAATTTCATTTATTTATATTCTAATAGGGTGTCAAGAAGAACAGGACCCTAACCAAAATTAAAGGAAAGGATATTTTGAGAAATTGAAGCTCTGACAAGTAAGTGAATATCATTCCATTTAATTTATTTTTAATAGTCTTCTATTAAAATATTTTATTCTTATGAATTACATTAATTTTGAAAATTATGAAATATCAATGAAGAACAAACAAGTTATGATATGCGCATTTATTTTTTTCAAGTGTATTTCCAAGATTGATGAAAGTATTTTTGTATCGTTGTTAAGCTTTGAAATATATTAGCTATTCAATTACTACATTTGGTATATTAGTTATAAAGTATGATTTTCACAAATTTTGAGAATTGAAACAACAATTCATGCAAGTTTGGCATTGAGAATGGTAATTTTTTGACAGCAGTAATTATTCTTCTCGCATGTTTGAAACATAAATTTTTAAAAAGACTCTAAATAGAACACTGCTACTAACGGCAGTTCCGTTAGCCCGTAGCGCACTGTGGTTAAACACTAGTTAATTTGTTTCATGAGCTTATGCTCACGTTTGGTATTCGTGGGCTTTGTACCCACGTTTGATTTCATGGCCTGACTGCATTTGGTTATTTACCCTCGTGGACTGTGTGTCCATGTTTGTTTTCATGGCATAAGCCACACTAACCACAACCCCGTGCATCGCACGGGTATACCTAATAAAAAGAACTAAATTTAAGTAATGATAATATAGTTCATATAATTATAGTCATAATATGTGACATGTGGTAAAGAAAGAAATGTGATAATACTTAACAAAAACTATTATATTTGGCCACAAAAGAGTTCAATAAGGAAGTCATTATTCACTACATACGCAGCCAAAAAAAAACAATGTTCATAAACAAATCATGCATTTATAGCTTGAAGGTTTTGAAAGATCTCATAAAAGACCACATTAGTAATGGTTGACTTAGCTTGTTTATCAATGTCATGAATCAATATTCTCAACCCATTTATGCTTATGACTCTAGAAAGTGCAACATACAGTTGGTCGTGTGTGAAAATTGGTCTTGGCAGATAAAGACCAACGTTGTACAGTGATTGGCCTTGACTTTTGTTTATTATCATTGCAAATGAAAGAATGATTAGGAACTGTCTTCTTTGCATACGGAAAGGCCATCTATTTTTAGAAGGATTCATATCCATCCTATGTATAAGAAACTTTTGATTTGGGCTTGAACCATTAAGTGTCACTACTTCAATTACACATTTCCCAAGCTTTGTGATTCGCAATCTTGTACCATTACATAATCCCAACACTTGGTCAACATTCCTGAGAAGCATTACCAATGCACCAATCTTGAGTGTAAGTTTATGAGGAGGTAGACCAGAACTATTACTTGTGTTAAGGAACTCAGTAGTGTAAAGATCCTCGAATGAGTCACTGTCTTATGATGATCTGCAAACAAAATCACAACTGAAATATTCTACCAATTCACCAGGTAAAATACCACACATGAATTCATTTATCTGGTTAACGCACTCAAGAGTTAGTGCAAGGATTGCCCGATCATTGAAATATGTCGTGTTGGACAAATTATCCAATAAGTCTGGGTATGTAGATGACACAATTGTAGCCAAATGATCCTTGTATAAAGTAATCAATATCTCTGATGGAATTTCAATATCTACAATGCCATCATTTGATTCTCCAACCCTGCTATCTCCAATATCTAGTAACCATTGTGAGAATTTCTCTATTTTTTCACGATCAGAAGAGGATGAAGATGATGTCAACTGCATGTTCTTCATCAATTTATATATTTTGCATTAACTCCACAAGTACAAAGAACTTATGGATGCATTGACTATATCTGCCCTACTACCTTTAGGAATTACAGGTAGAATCTGACGGAAATCACCTCCCATGACTATAGACTTCCCTCCAAATGGTAGATCACAATGCATTATATCTTTGAGTGAGCGATCAAATGCTTCTATACAATGGCGACGTATCATTGGAGCTTCATCCTAAATGATTAATTCTATTTATTGCAACAAATATGCAAGTGGGGATCTCTGGCTGATGTTACAGACTGAATCTTCATTTATATCAATTGGGATTGCAAATCTTGAGTGTGCAGTTCTTCCTGATGGTAACAAAGTAGTTGCAATTGCACTTGATGCAACAGCAAGAACTACCTTCCCTTTAGAACACAATGTTGTAGTTAGAGCGTTCCATAAAAATGTTTTACCAGTGCCTCCATAACCATATACAAAGAAAAAGTTACCAACATGTGAAGATGTAGAGGCAATGATACATTGGAAGATCTCTTGTTGTTCATCAGTCAATAATTGTAATAGTCTCTCAGATTGATCTTGTAATGCAACTTTGTCATAATTTAATTCTTGCATGATTAAATGATTTTCAAAATCTAGAATTGGAGAATTCTTAGGCTTAGGAAGAGAAGGATAGTAAGAAAGGCTTTTTCCATTACTTTGTAAGAGTGATTCAATCTCTTTGAGAACAGCTTCTTCTTTATCTTCTTATGAAATTTGCAGACCTGTAACAAAAAAAAAAATAATAATAATAATAATAATAATAATAATAATAAGTGTAAGAAAAATATGTGATATATATAAGTGAATTAAATAAATTTGAAATTTTTTTAGACTAATATTTACTTGAGTATGTTTCATCATTGTGTGGAATGTAAAACAAATCCTCTGAAAGTATCTTGGAACTTTCTTTCCAAACTATGTCAAGGCGACTAAGGCAACAACATAATAACATGCTGACAAACATTTTTCTCAACGTTATGCCCGTTGCCTAAATTGATGCTTCTTTAATTGCATCTATATATTCTTTATCATCATCTAGAAGTCCACGTGCATAACATGCTTCTCTAAAAGTAGGGTACACAATATTATCAATAGTTTTGATCTCATCATATGAACGTGGCCCTTTAACCTTAGTCAATAGAATACGAAGGTAGTATCTCTCCTCAGATGCTGGTGATGCATGACCTATCCGACCCACTGCAAAACCCTTTTCTCTTTTTTTCCACAACCTATTATTCTGTTGCCACACATAATATTGAGGGAATTCACCATATGTAAGTGTTCTTGTAAATTTATCTTTCTTATCTTGATTACACTTTATCCAAGCAAGAAACATTGACTCACAGACTCTTGGTTTATTAAGCAATGAAGAAACATCTTGATCACCAGAGTATACAATATACTGCTCATTAGGAAGGTGGAAACTTAATCTCTCAACAGAGGGGTACCTGTGGTGGATATCAAATGCAAATATTTGTCAACAGCCTTCACAGGAGGAGACATACCTACAATTATAGTACTGCTTGATCTCATCAATGATGGATTGGCCCTCTTAACCAGAACTTGAATAAAGTGAAGCAATAACTCTATCATTCCCTTTGTTTATGTACTTGAACAAATATTTGATAGAAGTTGATTGATTTGTTTTCTCAATATTGATATGAGCCTGGAACTTGTAAAGAAGATAAGAATTATATGGCACAACAAAACAATTATCTAAAGGAACACCATTTTTTTCTATTGTTTTTCCATCATCTCTCCTTTTATACGTCGGGTAGCCATCTTTATCAACTATTGTTTTGTCATTAAATTTTTTGGGAAAGTATTTGCTACATTTACCATCCTTCATGTAAGGGGACTTTTTATTGCTATGACCACATGGCCTATGCATCATGTACGTCCCAACTAAATCATATAGTAAGGGAGAGGAATCCTTATTTGGAATCTCAGAAGAAATTATGTTGTCAATTTCTTTGGGGCTCTTGATTTTGTCATTTTGTTGTAAGAATAAAAGAATGTGTGCATGTGGAAGACCCCTCTTTTAGAACTCAACTGTATAGATCTCTGTCAAGATGAACAAACATATAAATAAAAGATTTTAATAGTAATGAGAAGTTCAATTTTAATTTGTAATAAATTTAATCTTACATATATTTAAAAGTTTAAAATCTATAATCCTACAGAGATCCAAATTAATATTAGTGTTGTTAGCAAAAATAGTCATTTTAATTTGTAATAAGATTTAACAGTATTGTGCTTGTCACATGTACTCATAAATTAATATCAATATATATTTAAATGTTTAAATTTTGTTTAATGAAAAATAACACTGTTAAATTTAATATAATTAATTATTTGTTAAAATTCATTAAAATAAGATATAACTTTTTTTGATTGGTGGTTTCAGTTTCATGCAATCTTCAAAAATTGAGCTTAAAGCATCAAAATTTTGTTTTACATGCATTATTATTCATAATAATATATAATTAATAAATTGCATGTATACAAATGTAAGAGAGTGTAAAATCATATTTTCATTATAATTTATTATTATTTTACATTTAATCATATTAACAAACAAAGTTTATTTAATTGGAAATTTGTAAAATTTCCTTAATATGAAATGTAAATTCATCGAGCTGAAGAATCTTTTTTATTCCTCTCCTATTATTTAATTGTTTAATTTTATGAAATTTAACATGTAGTATAAGTTATGCGAAATGTAGAAAATGATTCTAAAAGGATATAATAGTTACAGTATATGTTACTAATAAACAATAATTGTAAAAGGGCATGGTAATGCCATGAAATAAATTAAATCTTACTTATCCTAGACATAAAATAATATAACATATATTACCAATAAGGTATGAATCATAAATTGGACGTATATAAATTTAAGATATTATAAAATCATGTCCTCAATGTAATTTAATATTTTTATAAAATAATTTAATATATATATATATATAACTTATGTACGGAATATTGTTCTAACCTGCACGTATGGTGCCAAAAATTTTCTTGTCCTTGATTGTCTTTAACAGTGATTGTAATTTCATCTTGAAGACTCTGCATAGGATGTCGGCCTTATCTGTCGAGGAAAGATTATATTTCTCGCAATACCGTTTGATTTTTGGCCATGCAGGATTGCATGTGAAAGTAATAAAAAGATCTGGGTAACCAGCCCATCTACAGATTGCCATTGCATCCTGATAGTTTTGAATCATGTATCTTGCTCCTCCAGTGAATGAAGATGGTAAAATAATGCGTTTACCAGTTAAAGATGCTTGTGTTTCCCCTGTTAGAATCGCGTCTGATAGATCTTGATACAAGTCACCCCTGAGTTCTTTCTGGTGCGTTGTAATCCAATGAAGTCTTTGAGACTCCATCATAGTGTAACCATCAACGATAAATTGTTGAAGAAGCCTACTTGCATGAAGCATAGTTGAAATTTCATTGTCTCTTATCATGAGTCTGTAGGCAAAAAATTCTCTCATGCTAATAGTTTTCTTCTTCTTTGTAGTTCCTAGAGTCTCTTCTCAATGGTATATATCATCTCTATACCCATCTTCTCCAAGTGGGAAAAGATTGGGTATTGAAAAGGAAGATAAGATAGGTGTAACTCATTGATACGTTGCACTGTGCCTGGTAGTTTCTCAACAATAATATCTCTAAGATGGAATACTTGATCAATATCTCCTATAATGAGTGCAGCAACTTCAAAGCATGTCGGTACATTATATGTGCGTCCATCCTTGTCTTACTTACTAAGTAATGCTAATTTCATGTTACAAGGTAGATGACTTTGAATCATTGCTGATGCCAAACAATATTGTTTGACAAATGGATTCACTTCATCCAAAGTAATTTGGATCTTGTCTACAATCACTGGATCAATACCTTCTTGATTTTGATAATTACTGCACATAATTTAATAGAAGGACGGATTAGTAATGTGATTTTTATTACAATAATAATTTATGTAAATTCAAGAATTTGAACTGACCTAACGGCTGAGATTCTGTTGGAAACTTCATTCTCTGTGTCATAAATATAGAGTTGAGAGAACACTGGTCTGGACCCCTCAATAGGGAAAAGATTGCCTATTTTATGGTAATTATGCCCTGTCAGAATGAAGGTGTATGGACCACCACCCTTATTTTTTGAATGATCTATCTTACCATCCATAGATGTAAATGAGAACATGCTATTATAAGTATGAATATTGGAGTGAAAACTCTTTGACTCAAGAAGTGTTTTGTTAAAGAATAAGTCCTTTATAAATTGAGGAGGAGAATGCATTGGTGGCAATAACACTTTTCCCTTGAGGCAACACAAAGAAAACCCATTAGTTATTGAGCCTCTATCTCTTTTAGCCCTTTTATTAAACCATATTTGAGCTTGGCAAAACTTGCAGACATTAGTTGGATCACCCTCATCCAAGTAATCTGAAATTATTGTATTGACAATATTAATATCAATTCAGTATAGTCAAATTGAATTGCCATATGATATTGAAAGAGATATACCTAAAGCATTACTTTCAGCCACACCAGCCAGAACGGTACACTCATGGTCTTCATTTGGATTGGTATCATCATCAATAGATAACTCCTCTGAATATAAAGATTTTTATCATATATCCGGTTAATTTGATAGAAAAAGATTTGCATATATTGTGAACAATTCAAACTTGAATATTTAAAACTTTGAAAATTAAATTCAGCCCTATCATTCATGTTCATCCTCATTAATATTTGTTATACTTTTAGATAACGCAACTATATTTTTTTTTTGCAAGGAATAATCAATGTCAGAATTGAATGCTACATAGGAGGTAGTTTTAAGCAATCAATACCAGTGCCACCATAATTCTGTACTGATTTATTTGCTTGAGTTTTTTTGTGCCATGTACATCTTTGAATTCTATCATTGTGAGAGGTAGTAGAACTATACAAATCTCTTTCTACATCTGTAAAGAAATCTGGGTTAAATTACATCAAAATATGTAGTTGAAAAATGAAACATTCATGTAGAGGCATTAATGGTTAACCTTGGTTTGTTGATAGTTCTCTATGTACTGGCAATTCTAAGACAGCATTTGAATGTTGTGTAGTTAGAATACTGATCTTTTCTGATTATAACACATGCCATATAGAAAAAAAAACAAAGATACTATTGTTTTGTCATGTATGAATAACAAAAAGGAAGTAGATAGCACGTGGGATACATTCAATGAATTATCAAAACAATATATAAGATAAACTATAAAAAATATATACTAAACTATCATCACCACAACATGAATTCATTAAAACTTATGCCATGAGTATAATCTAATAAAGAAATGACAAGGTGGATAGCACATGGGGTCTAGATAAGTGCAGAACAATAAAATAGCCACATAACTTGCCACAATACATGCATTACTGGTCGTATGACATCTGGTTAATGCAATTGATTATGTAAAGCCATTTGGAAAGCATATTGCCATATGGAAAGAATATCACCATCCTAGAAATATAATAGCAATTATCATAATAAATAAAGTAGAACTACCGTACATCAATATCCACAATGTCAATGAATTTGTTATATATAATAAATGAAGTCAGCACTAACATACACATCTATCATGTCCTAAGACATAGTAAAGTAGGACCATGAGAAGATTAATTAGAAGCATTATTTGCAAGAGGAATGACAAGTGGAATGTTCATACTATGGCATGATTTGCATGCAATTAGGGGTTAAATAATAGCAAGCCATATGTAAAGCACTTGCAATTCTGTCAAAAACTACATTATCACATAACAACCTTTATATATGAATATACTGATTCAATCTGATTTAGTAAAAATGACTATAAAAAGATCACTTAAGCACCCATCCGATAGGTAGAAATTAATTTTGAATGAAGTACCTTGTTCTTGAGTGTTCTGCAATTGAGAAAAGGAAATGAAATCACCATTGGAGCTAAAGTTTTCAAAAGTACAAAATCTGGTGCTCCTTCTCTTAAACATGGGCTTTAAGTCTGATTTATGGTATAGTTGATATGCATTCATACTTGCTAGGCAAATCACAAATAAATCAGGGGATTGCTAAACTTCTTTGACAGGTTAATTGCTACATTAGTTATGTCTTGAAGAGCATTTATCCTTGCCTATTTTCTATGATGTAGAGATTTATTGTTTGAGAAGAGTTGAGAAGGATTTGTATTTGGTATATTCTCTGCTTCAGGTTTTAGTGTGCCATTGTCTTCAGATACTGGTGATTCAAACGTGGAAGTCATGATAGCAAATAACCTTGCACGATTTCTCTTTCTATTGAACATCTTGTATTGAAGTTTTAACTTCAAGTACTAAGACTTACTTCAGAAACTACTAAGCTTGCACTTTGAATTAATGAATGTGCAATCTGAATTTTTTATCTACTGTTGGATTGGAGTTCAGCAAATTCATCTTGACTTCCTCTATCGAGTTCTTGATTCTTAAACCACTACAAATAATATTTGAATCAGTTGACGTGCAAAATGCTCTTAGTTTCAAATCTCAGATTTTGGTTCACAATATCTAAGGAGGTTGAAGCTAAGAGGTTAAGGTAGGAAGGGATTCTTGAAAACTTCAATAGGCTGTGTGCATTAATTAGATGACTTTGACATTTGGAAAAGGCTCTTTTTATGCGGCCTATTATCTCTTCTTACTGATTTCACAAAGTAAAGAAGTGACATGACTCTAGAGGTGTTTGTACATAGACTAACTGTCAAAATATTAAATTAAAGCATTTTGACACTGACAAATGCACCGGCGTAGGTGAAATACACTAATTCGGGTTCAGTTGAATCTTACAGCATTTAATGAAGCATGTAAAAAGCAATTAAAGTCTGGCTTATGTGACAGGTAGGCAACTAATAGTAATGATGTTATCAAATTTCAAATCTATTGACTGTGTATTAGTGTTAACTGCTGGTTATTAATTTATTTTATACCAGTGCAAGTAATATCGATGCTGTTACTAGTAGTTTATTTGCTATTTTTCTGTCCCTTTTTATTTTTTTGGATAATAAAAAAATCTTTCTTGTACAACTGGCTATCAATTAAAACCTGTTGTTTTAGCAAACAACTTATGACAACAAAGATGTTTTATGGTGCCCATTTTTTCTGGTGTATTAGCAATATATTAAAACATGTTTGATGTCAGATATCTTGTTTAATTAGAATTGCATCAGTTCAATAGAGTTGTTGTCATGTGTTTCTCAAATATTTGCACTAATGGGTGAGTCAATATTTTTTCATCAAATCAATTTTTTTTTTGGTGACTTACTTAATTATTTAATGTTAGGTTGTTTCTAATTTAAATTAGAATTGCATCAGTTTATTTCTTTAGTTTAATTGTAGATCTATTTCTAATTACTTTCCATCTTGATTTGGCTTGGAAGAATTTTTTTAAGTTATTGCTATATTAATTCTATATGACATAACTTCATACCTTCTAATTTGTTCAAAAGAATATCTCTTCAAGTTTATACTTTATAATTTGTTCAAATCTGTCATAGTCTTATGAAGATTGCAGTATCAATTGGCGTTAAATAGATAATTTGGTCTAAATGGAGGATGAGAATATACGTGTAGGTGTCATGCACTGTAAAAATTTAATTAACATTTAAAGCTTCATAACTAAGTGTTTGAATTTAAAGTGGTCACGCATATTTCATTTAGGGGCTAAAATGATCAATCACGCAACACAAATTTAAAAAGAAGTCATCAAGTTGTCCTATTTTCAGGACTGCATTCCTGAAAAATATGGAAAATTGGTAGAGGAAAAATAATGAGCTCCTAGAGCATTGACAGACCTTAAAATAAATGCCATTAGTAATTAATAATTCATTACATATTAGAGTTCCTGGCCAAAAGAAATAAAACTTAAACAGTAACATAATAACTATTTTAATTCTAACATCTGGAAAGGCAAGATGATAAGTGAACACAACAATAGTTAAAAAAACACAGAAACAACAAAAAGGACATTAATGCTTCAGTTGAAGCTCTTGAAAAGCTCAAGCTTTTTCTTGTTTAATTATCTTGACAGGCTTGGTGTTAGGCATGGCATGAGTAGATGGTTAAGGTTGGGGATTAATTTGCTGGACTTTTGCACTCTTTTTCAAATATTGCTTCCTCTTTCCTCTTGGCAGTGGAGGAGGATACAACTGAGATATAGTCATTTCATCAATCCCAATGTCTTGAGACATTATTGGTTCAACTTGGAAAGAGATGAACCTATAGTTGTTTCTTCATGACTATTCTCAAAGCCTGAGGCTGTTGGAACCACCTGTAATAATCAAACACACACAAAGGCACTCTTAAATCATTCATTGCATAAAAAAAAACTTTTCATAGACCATAACTAATATAAAATAAAAAATCACATTTCATTATACCTCATTCACTCCCTCTTCAACTGTAGTACCCTTTGAGACCATAATAGCTAGACCTGAATTGGTACCCTTCTAGAATGTAAAATTTTTTAAAAAACCAAACAAAATACAAAATAATTTAGCACAACATGTCAGTTATTGAATAAAATTTTAAACCATAATAGCTATTAATTATTTCACCTCTACTAAAGCCTCTTTAAAGGATAAGTGAGACAATATGTGGCTAAATTTTGGAAAAGATAGAGAGATAAGTACTAAGAGATTACTTTATGTAGCTGCTCTTTTATCTCAGAAGCAGTTTTTCAAGTGAACTCATATGCATGCTTGTCAGAAAAGACAACAGAGGTATTTCCAAATTCATCAAACACGTTATAGTGTGCTTTGAGCCTAATTAGATAGATTTCCAACCATATGTAATGAGAATAGAGTTAAATGTAAAGATCAAATGAAAAGAAAGTAGGAAAAGTTAGCAAATTTACTTAAATTCAGTTTGAGTCATATCACTAGGGCATGAAAAGAAAACCATAATTCCTTTTGAATTAAGCCTATGTTTGGTTCCACATCTGATACAACCCTCATATGTCTAGCCTGGATTAGTCTCTAATTTCTCTATTACACACTCTATGATACATAGATCACCCTAAGAATAATAAAAAAATGTAACATGTCATTAAAAATGAAACTTTATCCATGACTATTCACATAGGTTTATGAGGTCACCACTTTCATTGTGTCGATGTCAGAAATCATAATCTTCTTGGTGGATCTCAACATAGAGTCTACAGAGAGTTGTGTAGTTTGAATTGGTATAACTTGGCTCAAGCAAGAGTTGTTTGAAGATGAGCTTTCCTTGGCACTGGAAAATAAAAAAGAGTTGATGCAAATACTGTAACGTAACTAACATGTTGATAAACAGATAAAGGGTTAAAGAAATGGTGCTTGTAATAAATTTCATGCTACTGGCCACTTTTTGGTAAACCTGTCAATCAAATCTGAAACTTCCTTAATATTTGGATTCAACCACACTTTTGTTGCATTAAAGGATGAACCAATCTAGACCTCCTCTGTACAAGAAAAAATAAATTAGTTTCTCATATCAAAAAGGCAAAGGTAAGAATGTGTTGAAAATTTCTTACTGTTGTCTATAGTAACTCGGCACAGTTGAATGACAAACACTAATGGAAACCTTTCATTGTCAAGATATCTATAATAGGTATTTGAGGCACACTCTTTAAGAAGCACACATACAATACTTGTGCCACTGCAAAAGAAATAAGTTAAGAATAGCTTCTTAGGTCATGCAGAATAAAAGACATGCACCCATTAAAAAAATATTCTTACTTTTGATCTGCCAATGTTAAAGTCAGCTTGTTTTGGAATCCATTTTCGGTCCTGTACTCTTCAAGCTTTCCTATAGACTTTAACACTCCAATAACATCTGTATAAAGGCAGAGAAGTATGGAGGAGAAAGTAATGTCATATTTAAAGGAATATTACAAAGATGAAAGTTGTAAAGAAGATAACTCGTGGGCACACATCTCTTGTCATTTTTAAAAACAAATTCGTTGAAGATATTGTTTGAACAAATTACTAATCAAGTATTCAGGTGCAATCTCTTGTTCAAGGCAAACACTAATAGGCATAAAAGAGAAAGAGTTCCATGGTATGTTTGCTTTCTCTTCATCTATGAAAGTGTTTGCATTAAAAATGATCTTGTAAGTGTGATTTGTTGCTTTGTACTGGTTATTCTCTACTACATTGAAATTGGCTATGAATACAGTACTTCCCTCAACAGGCCTATCTCTGAAACGTTCAAGAAGAGGCTTTTGTGTAACACTTTCTTGTATCCTCTCACCCTACCAAATGGAGAAAATAAAATAAGTATGATATGTTAAACAATACATGTAACTAAGCTAAGGGATATGATCTACTAATGTAGAAATTTTGAAAATAACAACTTGAAATAGTTAGAAAATGTAATACCTCTTAATCAATGAGAATCATATTGATACAAAATACCTCTAAAGGCTTGTTTTTAGGAGTAACATTCCATTTCCTTACAACCCTTACAATAATGGTCCACGTCTCCTTGGAAGCATGAAGTTCTCTAATCAAATGGCCTTTTCTTGGTGCTATTTCAGCAGCCGAAGAAGAGGTGGTTGGATAGTGTAGAAAAAAATACTTTTTGGTTTGAAAGTATGGGATGGTGATACAAAATGAAATCAGTTAAGGGGAATAAATAGAGGCATGTAGGAGTACACATTAGGAAGTTCACATCAGACACTACATGAATTTAGATTGGTAAGAACCAAAAAAGAAGCCACCTACAGCAAGTTCTCACGTGAAGATGTGAGCTATATATGCATACAATGGAATTTAATGCTTTATAGAAGGTACAGCTTGTGAGTAACAAGTAAAAGACTATCCCACACAAGGAGTAAATAGATAATAAGGACTGATTTAAGTGTCTTAAGTAGGCAATAGCCTTATGATATTGGGAAACAAAGAAGACAGGATGTAACATGAAGAGTACATTGCACAATGCTCTATGTGTCCTACAATACCTACTCTTGTAAGAAACACATCCAATCATACTTAATAAATAAAGCAACTTTTATAAATCAACTATAAATGTTGTTTCTCTTCATCTTATACTTCTTTGACGCTTAAAAGATGAAAGAAACATTGTAAATCAATTAAAAGTAAGCAAGATCTAGATATAAGAGACTTGGAACTAATAGCCATGCCTCAACATATTTGAAAAAGTAAAAAAAAAGAATAAAAAAAACTTTATCAATGCATTGAGTTGTTATGGCTGCAAACATGATTTTGTCCAAAGTTCGTCCTATTATGGTAGGTGATAGAAAACTAAAAAGGTACTCTTAAAATGATCTACCCTTTAAATCGCTGCAACTTTCTAAGTTGGCAGTAGGATGAATTATTTTAAAATAAATTTGGAGCATCCCTTTAGTAGATTATATTCAAGCAAGAGAACTTAAATAATTTAACAAACTCTAAACTCTTAACTTTTTAATGTTTGCATATAGCTAATTATTCTATAAATTTGATATTGGAAAAATAAGGAAACTCTTGAGTGATATCGAATATGAAAATAAATACAATTGATACACCAAACATATTATAGTTGTTGGCCAAAAATATTAAAAGTGCAACAGCAACATAGTAGCTACTCTAGTCATAAGTAAAGAAAAGAAACCATGATAATTGGATGCAGACTTCCATGGACAATGCTCAAGGTGTCCTTCCATGTCTTCATCCTAAAAAAATGTTAGTGGAAGTAACAGACACAATAAAAGTTTTTTAGGAAACAAAAGAAAAATACTATTGTGCAACAGATAAAAAATGTCAACCTTTATAATCCAAGAATTTACTGTGACAGTATAAGATCATGGATTTACTTGGTATATTGTACCCAAGATTCACACTCTTAACATTGCTTCAGCATAGTGACTCAGATACTTTTAAGCATAGTGACTTAAGATTGAATGGTGGTTGTTAGTGAATTTTGGATAAATATAGATGGACATGGATGTGGTGTGTGAGTGAGTGATCTTAATGAATGATAAGGCAATTGTACGTAGGCAGTAGGACTTTTGTTTAAAGAGGATGAGATAGGATAGTTCGAACACACAAATGAATCTTCATCATCCAGCCTTCTCTGATTAAACAAAAACTAATGCGCAAGCCAGTAAAAGCGCGCGAATGGCTAGTCTGCAGCATCCAAGTTGGCAAGAGCCTAAAAGGATCCTTCACTAAAGGGGAATATACATGTGAATCTCACATAATACATCTATCTCAAAAATAGACATTTTCAGTATCTAAATCTATAAAATGTTGGTGTATGGACCAAAAAATAGACATCAATTAAAACTTAAGGTTTCCAGATTAAATGAGAAAAATTTGATTAATTTATAGGTTAAAGAGGTAAAAAGGAATATGAAATAAGGCAATATATACTCATATCAGGCTTCCCTAACTCTGACTCTCTTTTTCACATGTTTGATAAATGTATGGACCAAAAACCAGACTTGTTTTGCTGGATAGAATTCTAAAATATAGAGGCTCTTACTTTAGCAAAACTCTCCGAAAACTGACCCGTAAGCATGTTATTGAACCTGAAAGTCCATTCACTTGAAGAAACAGAGTATCGAGGTTCTGAAGTTTGCCAAGTTTCAGTGGTTTCTAGCCAGTCAATCTGTAGTTCACAGTGTCAAATCTGACAAGTTGCGACAAGTTTCCAATCTCAGGCGGTATGCCGCGCGTGTAAGTGTTAAAGTATCCAACATAAAGTTCCCAGAGGTTGGTCAATGAACACTCAATGGTCCTCCATTTCTGAATCGATGAACACTCGATGCATGCACCGCCTGAGAGATTGAGAGTTTGGGCGATTGAACAACTAAGGTTTCCAAAGATAGAGCAGTTGAGAGAATGAGAGATTGAGGGATCGAGCTTCGAAGAGAGACAATTACAGGAAGAGAAATAAAAGAATGCATGGCTCACCAGTTGCTCAGAAGCAAAAGAACACTTGATGCATGCACCGCCAGAAGAACACTTAATGCATCCAGATATAGAGCAGCTAAGAGAATGAGAGATTGAAGCACCGAGCTTTGAAGAGAGGTACAGCTCCAGCTGTCTTGAAAGGAAGTGTCTTGAAAGGAAGTCACTCCACGACATATAATGATGAGCATCTTGCGGAAGACACATGGAAGTCTGGCAGTAAAATTTTCATTAATTAAACCTCCCCTTGAGCCATGTGTTGATGGCATGAAGCCGTTACTGTAGATAAAGCCGGGTACTGTTCATAGAGCTGATGAATAGAGTTTACTGTTTGGAGCCATGTGCATAGAGTAGCTTGCCTGGAATACTTTTATTATTTAGATTGATTTAGTTATTTATCCTCATGGACTGTGTATCCACGTTTGTAACCTGCTCTATTGAGTTTTCAAAATTTTAAATGTTGAATAATATGTGTTTTCAAAACTTACATGATTTTTGGCTAATAATTACACCACTCTGAGTTATATGTGAGTAAATTATTTTCTTTAAGCATGATAACATAAATTGCTTTCAATTTACTCTCATTTTATAATTATGGTTATGACCTATAGACTTATAAATTTGTTTTGTTGAATTATTTTTAATTAGTTTACACCATTATTAGAGTTTATTGATTTAAATTTTAAAAATTTTACTTTAGGAATGCTATTCACTGAAAAAACTTATTTTGGCCTCAAATTTGTTAGCTGACGCTAATCCCACTATCGACCTCTAAAGGGCAATATAACTACACGGGGTGAAAATTTTTGATTGGTACTGTTACTTTTGATGTAAATATATAAGTCGTATGTATTTTGCTTTAAAAGAAAGATTAGTGCTCCACATAAATTGCTGTTAGGGTTTTATTTTAATTTGTATATTGGTTTTCTAGAGGGAGCTACGCTCCTGATTTATACTATCTTTGTAAAAATTTTCTGTTGTAGAATTCTCGGGAGATCTTAGTTACAGGGGAGGTTCTATCGAAATTTCTACAAAAACGTTGAAGTCTTCTTATGATAAGTAATATTAAAAGAATTATAAATTCTATATAATCTAATTATTTTAAAAAAAATGAATTAAATTTTCATGTTAAGGCTTACGAGAATGCGCGATGTAGTTTGCACCCATGCCGGTCACCCTCTATTTTCAAGGCATGACATTTCATTTAAAAACTTAATCTAAAGGCATCTTTATGTAAGGATAACGATTTCACTTTCCAACTGCCACATTCATATAAAACAGATAAAAATAGCATAGCTCATTATAAAAAAAATTTCATTCATAAAAATCATCTTGTTTAATAAAATTAGTTTTAAAAAATATTAATTTCAAATATTCTTTTAACGGGACTTATCATAGCAGATAACAAGCATGGGCACACAATCTACAAGAATAAGTTACTGATAAGTGTGGCTTAAAGCCACGAAATAAGTATAGGCACAAAACTCACAAAACAAGTGTGAGTATGATGCTCATGAACAATTATCCCTCCATTTCAT